CGCTGACAAATCCAGATAGTTTTATCTGGCCAGTGGAATTTTTGTACATATGTTTAAGAACATTAAAAGTTTTGCCAGTGATGCCTAGTTTAGCTAATTTTAAGAAAAGAGCTTCACGGCAAACAGAGTCGAAGGCTTTCCGGAAGTCCACGAAAACAGCATGAACGGGAACCTTGAGCTTTTTGTATTTAGACGTAATGGTGTTGAGTGTGAGTATGTGGTCGTATGTTTGAGCTCCTTTAGCGAAGCCAAGTTGATTTATGGGGTCCGGGTTGTATTCATTTTTGAACTTGATTATCCTGTTTAGCATAATGGTCGAGAATATGTAGACTGTAGATGAATTATTCCAGGGATTGATAACTTTAATCAATTTCTAAAGGTTAAATTATATTAGAATTTTACCTATTTGAAACCCTGCATGATAAAATGCCCTGTAATGACGCACACCATGCACGTGTTATTTTGTTTCAACGTCGAATATAGTAAGGAATAGTTGTTTATCCACCTCTTATATCGAATCCAATTAGTTATTTTTGAGAGAATTTCGAGAACACAAAAGAAAGCTCTGTCACATGTTTCTTTGTCAATTATCTCAATGAAACACAGCACGTGCAATGAGAACACTATTTGTGGTTTCAGCTTGATCTGATATCTTCAAAGTTTTTCAAAGTATTTTTGAATGGCTTTGGAGATCACAAAAGAACGCTATCTTACTTAATTCTTGAACGATTTTCAGAGTAAATAGCAGGGTGCGCAGGGAGGAGGTTACCTATTGTTTCAGCTTGATATCTTCAAGGTTTTTCAAAGTATTTTTGAATGGCTTTGGAGATCACAAAAGAACGCTATCTTACTTAATTCTTGAACGATTTTCATAGTAAATAGCAGGGTGCGCAGGGAGGAGGCTACCTATTGTTTCAGCTTGATCTGATACCTTCATCGATCTATAACCCAGTCGAACAGCTGTTGTTCAAGTTATCCTATTTTGTTGCGTGGTCATTTAAAGATATCGTGCAGTCGATCTTTCATCAAGACACAGTTTGACAACTCTCATGTATACAGAAATTGGTTTGTGGTCTTCTGAAAATAGTGCTAAGATAACAAGCCACCGTGTCATGATAGGGATATTAATTGTAATTACCAACCTTGATGCCCTTCTCGGCTCCAACTGTCCACAAGAAACTTATTCTAAAGAAAAGATAGTTATAACTGGTGGACTGTACAATGGACTAGGTGGCTTACACCCGATGGATTCGGAAAATGACATCACCTGCATAGATGATGCAAGTAGTTTCGTCCAATCGAATGGGACTTCACTTACTTATAATCGGCCTTATTATTTGTACCTAGTGAGAAAAAGACACAAATTACTTCGATCCAAGAATTACAGTTGCCCCATGGCAATGAACGTTGCCAATATATATAATCATTGGAATTCCGGAGGACACGTGTATAAAACATTGGACACAACAAATTGGACGTGTTTGATCCCTAGATCATATGTGTGTGATGGTTTCTCTAATTGCCTAACTGACGAATGTGGGTGCGGAAGAAAGACTACTGAGCAGACAGATATTCAGATGCCAGTCTTCTACTGTGCTGAACAGCCTGGATGTATTTCTTTTTCACAGGTAACGAAAACATATTACTATTTTTTTCATACGGAGTGAATTATCAACAATAACTTTGGAAATTTGTAAGAATTTTTCTCTAATTGAACAGGAATGTTATAGTTAAACAAACAGTCTCATACAAAATTCAATAAAAAATAACACATCGCACATTTCTGCAATTATATCCCTGTTTGTATTAATTAAAGACTGCACCTCCCACGACAGGTCTGTGATAACATTATGGACTGCTTGGACGGGAGTGACGAGTGTTTCTGTCAAAACCATGTGCAGATAAAACTGAACAATCAAACAATTGGCTGTGTCTCGCAAAGACAGTACTGTGAAAAGCTGGCATTCTCAGATATCTACCAATTAGCTAAAATTCAACCTCGAGTTAACTGTAGTGCTTACAACTTTAGCCTGCCATATTATTTCAATCCAATCGAACAATGTTTGTCAGAGTATTTTTATATATTATATCAGCTTTCGGATGATCAGATAATAAATCTCTGTGAAAATAATTGCAGCAGTTTCTTTAAACAAAATCACTGGCAACATTTTTGCAAGCTTCTATCCCTGGGCATACATTCATTTCCAGAACTATCATGTGAAGTAGGGAGAGTATCAGAGGGAAGCTATCAAAGACCCGGCATGGACTCACTTTGTGACGGTAAGGTAGACTGTTTAAATGGGGCAGATGAAAAAGGATGCCCGGACAGATTCTACTGCTACAACCATTTGGAGAATGTGTCTAATCTTAGCAATAGCACAATGTGGATCCCAGCGTATAAAAAATGCGACAAAGTGAAAGATTGCCCAAATAGCATGGATGAGTGTAATATTGACTGTGGCCTCGGCAATATAGCTTCTCCTAAATCCCTCATAAAATCGAATGCTCTATCCTGTCTAAATGCCATCTTTGGATTAGCTGTTTTGATTCTGAATGTAAGGAACGGTTATAAAGCAATGAAAAGCGATCCCTCTAATTTGATCGCGAAAACTGATAGAATTCTGTGCATACAAATATTTGTATATGACTTTATAATGGGAATATATCTCTGCTTCATCGTGTTGGCATCTCTCGTTCTCCGATATAAGGGGGACTATTGTGTACTCTCTGACTGGTGGAGGTCGAGCGTTTACTGTGATATTCTAGGGGTAATCTTCTCTTTTGCAACTCACGGATCTCTCTTGATAGTTTCTCTGATGAGTATTGTAAGAAGCATCCAGTGCACTGTAACATTCATCAGGATTCCTTACAAAGTCATCATTCTACTTTCCTACATCATTTTCATACTTAACTTGATTCATGCAATGATTCCTGCAGTAAAGCTCCCCCAAATAGAACACATTTTCAAATCGGAAATCTTCTTGGTCAACATGGCGGATAATCCCCTGTTGAGCTCCTTTGATGAACAGTACATTAAAGATCTGTATCACAAATTCATCCCAAACCAGACCACTGAGTACATTGCAACAATGCTGGATGAATTGAAACAAATAACAAACAAGCCTAACATCTTTGACTTCACAGTGATTGGATATTACGGATCCACACCGATTTGCATTCAAAACATATTTCAGGACCAGGAATCTTACCGAGCTTATAAAATTGGATATTGTACTGCCATATCGGTGCTGCTAGCAGTAGTTTCAGTATCATATATTGTAATTGTGGTAAAACATAACAAGTCATCTGAAATCGCCAACCGCAACCAGGAAGATCATCAGCAAAACAAAGACCTCCTTATCAAGGTTTTCTTGATGATCGGATCTCAACTGATAAGCTGGGTATCCCTAATGATAACCGCTAACTATTTCTTCGGCGCGGACGGAAGTACTGCACCAGAATATGTATTTGAAGTTTTTGCCCTGTTTGTGATGCCCATCAACAGTTTGCTAAACCCAATATTTTACAGTGACATGTACAAAACCTGCAAGAAGAAAGTTTCACATATTATCAGTGTTATTAACGAACGCATGAATCCACATGACCAACCGGAAGAGATTGAAATGAACGGTATCAACCCAACTTAAGAAACAGAGGAACCTTAGTAATATCTCGTTACATATCTGGGCCCAGCGTAATAGATCCAAATATAGTCGTTTCAATTGTAGGTTCACAGGGGGCCGGGGGGGTCTTCATCAAAATTATCTCGAAATTGATTTTATAGTTGTTTCTGATAGAGGGGAGTGATATCTATCAGCTGCTTTTGGTCCCATGGAAAAACATTGTTCCTAGCCAAAATTATCGCCAGTCAAAGGTCAGCGCTTATGTGTAATTGTATTGCGCGAGCGATTTTTAATCGCGCGTCCTGAAAATCGACTCTAAAAATCTATTTTCTCCTACATTTTTTGAGCAATCACCCTGAAACTTTCAGGATATGTTCTAGGGATCATTTAGAAGATATCTGTCGAGCCGAATTTTAAGATAGGCCTTAGAAGATTTTTTATTCAATTTTGAAAATCTTGGACCTGGAAAAATCGTCAAAAAATGAGGTCCAAGATTTTCAAAATTGAATAAAAAAACTATAAAGTCAATTTCGAGAGAATTTTGATGAAGACACCCCCCCCCCCCCCCCCCCCCCCCCGGCCCCCTTAATAAGATGACAAAACTTTGCGGATAACGAAATCCGACTTCCAACCATCCCCATGAAAGCTTCTCACTTTGCGTTTTGCTGCTTTGCAATCGACACCCTCAATGACAAAGCTTTGCGGATAACGAAATCCGACTTCCAACGATCCCCATAAAACTACGAAAGCTTTTCGCTTTGCGTTTTGCTGCTTTGCTTGATGGAGACCTTGGGCTTTTGCAGATGGCACATTAAGTTAACAAAAAGAAAAAGAAAAAAAAAATATTTTATTTTATTTTGGAATATGATGAAGCTTTTGCGAAAGGGATGTTATGTTTATCAATCTTTAGTTTTCGTTTTGTTAGTAAGGTGTTTTATTTGTCCAGCTGATAAGCCGTAAAATGTTACAAAATTTAAAAACTGTATTTTCGGAAGAAGAAAAAAACAAGAGAAGATGCGAGTGTTCCGGGGTGGTCTCGTTAAGAGTTGTCGCCGATGAGCTTCATATTTTCTTGTATAGTCACGTGGTTGAAATAAAAAAATAATGCAGTTCTCCGGCTCTGGAATGTTGCAGAGTAAAATTATTATTAATTTTTAGAAATTCGCGAAATTGAGTACCCGTGACGATATCTGGTTTCACAGTATAATAAAACGCGGTGGGAATTACAGCAAATTTTCAACCTTTTGGCTGATCAGTGCTCCAAAGCTGCAAAGCACAAAGTTAACACTATCTTCTGATTCCAACTGCTGGCTATTTAAACCAGCTGTTAATACTATTGCAAGCACTAATCGCTAATTAACATTTTTTAAATTTCAGGTTAGACATGGCTGAGCTCACGAACCACCTCCACACGAAACGAACGGAAACAATAGAAATAGAGTTCAAACAAGAATCAGGAACAAAAATCCAACTGAACTTGTCAGCTCAAGACATGTTGAACCTATCCCAACAAATCCAAACGATCTCGTCCCAGAACCGTAGCAGTGTATCTCTAGACAACACATTCCAGCAAGACATCCCTTCTTTTCAGGAACATGGCATCTTCCCAGCCCCTTCACCTGAACTCTGTGACCGTAGTCAGGGTCATATTTTAGACGGGGATTTGTTTGAAGAGGTGGAAGTGTCTAACCAGACTGCTCCGAATGAAGGTAGTGGTGAGGATGAAGGTGATCGTGGTGATCGTGAGGTGGAGGGAGGTGTAATGGAGGGAAACATCTCTGATCTAGAGGATCTGCCATCTACAGGTAAATACATAATTAGGTGTAGATTGTAGATTGATAATGATAAGCTTTGATAAATTCTTGGAATTTCACATTTTTCGAATTATGAAATTGACCTTAAATACCTATTAATTTTCGAATGCTTTGTTTAATATTAAATTCAATTTAAATTCCGAATGGTACATATAATGACAAAGTTTTTAAGACTCCTAATTCCTACAAATAATAAATGTTCCCAGGTTTGATACTGGAGGAGTATACCGCTCAAACTCCCCCACCTCAAACTCCTCCACCTCAAACTCCTCCACCTCAAACTCCTCCACCTCAAACTTCTCCACCTCAAACTACTACACCTCAAACTCCTCAAGCTGTCACCACTGAAGAGGATAGGAGGTTAATAAAGTTAAACTATACATGCTTTTAAGTTCGAATTTTTTCGCGCGTTTTCGTCGTTAAAAGCTGTCTTACTCTATTTATTATCTTCATCATATATGCCAGATTTACTATGGAGTTTGAAATTTGAGTAAACTCACACTTCAATGCTATGTTCCAGTAATAGCCAGTTCCACCTTTAAACCTCATGCCCTTCAGGGTCAGCCAGCTCATCCAGGATGTAGAATTCATTGATCTGGTTAAGAAACTTGATGACCCAATCGTCAACTCCCCTCTGTCTTTTATAGATAATCTAAGTCCGATAAGACTTGACACTGTGCCAACTAAACTCCCGGCTGATAAAAACCAAGATATATCCGTGATAGACTTGGACGATAGCGCCACCGAAGCACCCATTTCCCGTAACAAATTATTGGACTCAACTCCAAAACCCTCTTCTAAAAACAAAGGTGTAATGAGGAGACCGAACTTAGAATTAGAGTTGTCAGTTTATGATAAGACACCTAACTTCAAGGGGATGAACACTCCTAAATTGAAAGCGGAGGTGGGGAAGTACGGGTTAAAGCCACTGTCTAAAAAAAGAGCTGTAGCCAAGTTGGAGGAGATTCACAGGTAGAACAGTTTTAAGATTTCACAGATTGCGCTCTGCTATTATTTTTGGTTCATTAAAGTTTTGATACAAACATCAAAACAAATAATAGTATTTGGGACCAAAACAAGCAAGTTCAATCGGCCTTTAAAACCAAATGTTTTCTAGGTTCACCAACAAGAAGTTTTTGAAACGACCCTCAGAACTCGAGGACGAGATGGGAGGGAGCGAGAAATCCAAGTAAGTGTCTGATCAAACAGTAGAAATATCTTTAGTTCCTTACGAAAAGCAGAGGAAGATCTGCCTTTCAATAACTGTAAATTTCAACGCACCTACCAATCCTAGATTCGGTCTTATCAGACCTGAGACCGTTTGTCCGAAAAACTTATAAGTTACGTAGAATTTTATTTTCATGATTGATTTATCGTTTATAGGACAGAAAATTGGCATGGGCTGAAAGCTGACCAATTTGACCTTCAATTTGTTCAAATACCCAAGAAGTCCAAAGATGAAACGTACGCAGTCCTCAATGGATTCCGGTTCAATATCGACAGAAATCGGATTGAAACGGATGGAACATCCTACTGGAGATGTAGTTTACATCGTTCAAGTGGTGAAACTGAGCGCTGTAAAGCTACCATAACCACGGCACACAGACAGCTTACGTCTCCAGTTCCTCTCCATAACCACCTTCCTCGACCACCGTTGGTTCATTGTCATAGCATTAATGTTTCGTTGCATGTCACCATTGTAGCTTAATTATGCTCCGTGTTTTAAACACATCAACTTAACTCATGGGACAACCCCGAATCTCGCACTAAGGCCCTTCTTTCCATGTCATGTAAACATTCTTTCTCTGTTGACTTTTAATTCCTTTTGGCCTTCCTAACTATCCATGTCAAGTCCAATTTTTAGTTCATGTCGATTTCCATTTTATGTTGACATAAAGTCCTTATAAACCCCTCCGGGTCAGAATAAGATGCTGATAATCCCGGCTCCCGCTAAATAGATTCTGATAATCCCGGCTCCCGCTGTTAGTTTTTTCCCGCTGAATAAATAACCCCGGCACAGCTTCTATAATCCCGCCCCGGTAATTTGGCTCAACTAGATTTATTTTGTTTTGATATTCCATGAGAATTTCAACCGCGCACTGTCACGTGTTTTGATGACGTATATCACGTGACTAACTACTACGACGCGCATTGGTAAAAAATGTCACGTGACCTATGGCTTAACGTAAGAACTATTTAATACACTTGATCTACGTATCGGTCTAATTGCAGGCGCTGGCAAAACTCCAGCACACTGCTTACATTACTTAAACTCTTACATTAATTGGACCAGTTCCAGAACTTATCTCGACGGTTACATTTGATTTTGTCCGGTTAATTTTGTCGTGTTTGTTATAAGCCATGTATTATATTATATATAGTCCTCTACTTTGATGGACTTCATGACACGATATCATTATTAGCTCCACCTTTTATCGCTTGCCAGGCTTAACTCGACGCCCCTTATCGACATTCATATTCATTCTACGTTCTGACTGAGGAATAATGTTTAGATATAACGCCAATTTCAAATGTCATAGTACCTTAGTTGTATTTATTTGGTAGTACTAGTCCCCAATTCCATTTCATATTTTCCATACTGATCTCATGTAGCTAGAATTAAGAGTAAAATGTCAAATTGCTGGTCCTAGCACTAACCCGGAGGGGTTTATAACACATAACACCGGCACGCTTAAGTTATATTAAAATAACCCCTCGTGCTAAAGCACGTCGGGGTTATTTTCATAATAATCCCTCGTGCTTCGCACTCGAAATTATTATAAATTTTTCCCGCGCGTCGCGGGAAAAATTGAAATATAATCCCTGCGCTTGCCGGGGTTATGTGTGTTATAGATATCGTTCACCGGATGAATCTCCTTATTAGGTCAATTGTGTTTTTTTGAAGCACTCCCAGAAACATGCTACCTCAGCAGTTTTTAAGCTCTTAACTTTGAAACTGAATGCTTTATACAACTTTTTGGCAGCTTACTTCATCCTTCCACTCTTTCTACTCAAAGTTGAATTGAGGCTACGCCCTCATGCTAGCTCTCGTCTATTGCACATCCAGTAACGATACACATGAAAAACTGAACTAGTGAACTACACATTGTTAGTGACCTCCATCAGTTCACAACCGTCCATTGTCATTGACGGCTATGTGTTATTAGGATTATATCAATTAGCTCTAATATAAGTCGTTAAGATCTTAATTCTTATGGGCTTTTTTTTTGTTATTCCGTGGAATAATAAAAAACTGGAGATCTTCAGAATTATAATCAAATCAGTACCTCTCAGTTCTTTGCAAAGGGTTAAGACATCCTTGACTGCTGCCCAATGAACCGTTGAATAGTTTCTGTTACCTGAAAAGAGCAGTTTCCCTTGGTCGCATGTACGGAATTATCAGAAATTTTAAACTCTGAACGCCAATGTTCAAGTTATTTGCGCCGAATACCTGAAGAAGGCCCGACCGGTCAAACTTCATAAAGCCAGTAACGATGTATATTTAACAGGACAAAGTTCACGCCGACCAAGTCTCAGCCCAGCAGAGCTGTCTCTAGTTCTACAACGTCTAACAAGAAACAGCAGAGTAGATCGAGAAAACGGAGGAATTCTTCGTCCAGTTCAAGGTAACAGACTGTGTGAACTATATGGTTGAAGTCTACTTATAATTTTGGTCAGGGTCGCCATAGCTGTCAGGCTTTACAATTCACAGCTAAAACATACTACCGCCAAATCTGTAATCTCTGAAATGCCCAGTTCAGAGAAGGAGTGCCCGGTAGGAGACATAACAGTGAGCGAGAAGTTGCCCAAATCAGCAGCAGGGGAGGTATCAGACCAGATCAGATCAGCTATCAGGAGTAAAGAGACCCTCCACACGCAGGTCCTGTTGTATCAGGCTGTTGACATTCTGGAGATCAAGGTTTGTGTTCTCATCTATGTCCTTTTTATCTTCAATGAACGGGACTACTGTCCATTTTTTTATACAATATTCCATCCTACTATACTTGTCATACAAATTGATTAAATGATAATGTAACCCTGATGTGGTTAAATTTGATAATTTTCCACTCATTAACGATAGATCGCATTTTCATTTTTTAAGACTGAGGAGCACTTCTGCGGCGCTGATATTAGTTAAAGTACCTCCTAACTTTCAATTATGCTTCACACTAAGGGTACAGTACACAGAGTACAGCTATCATTATATGAGGTACTTAGTGAAACATACCTCCTCCACCTGGAGATATTCTGGATTATTGTACTTAGTTCCCAACTTGGATGTTTTTAAAAAGATTGGGCAGGTGGTTTCTGCCGGAGTCGAACCGACAACCTTTGAATTCACAGATTAAAATCATACCATCATTAGACGAAGTAACCTGTAACCACGACACAGAGCTGACCATTCAGCTGTATGTATTATAAACTAATTACAACAACAAATCTATTACATTTATTCAGTATTATGTAACGCGATGGAAATATTTTAAGCGGGTAATATCCTGTCAAAACTCATGATACATGACATGAAGACTTTGTTGTAACTTTGTATGAAAAGCATTAATAGTACACATGATCCTGTCTACTCATTATAGCATGGTGCACTGGAGCGTGTTTATTGTATTTAAATGTACTTGTATTAAATGTATTGTATTATGTACTTTATTATGTACTTGTATTAAATGTACTTGTATTAAATGTATAGTCAATCAGCTGGCACTTATTGAGTTATGGTTTGTGAGAGGTCGTGTAATATGAGAGTATAATAATATGGAGTATGAGATCCCGGTAATGGTAACGTCCTAGTCAGCTAACTAGTTACATTGCTTATGAACAATTAATTGCAGGAAAACTGTCGAAAACACCACTCACGCCATCTGATTCCTTAAACTTTACATTTAGATAACTTAGTTTATTTACTTATTTTATTTACTTAGTTTATTTACTTAGTTTATTTACTTAGTTTATTTACTTAGTTTATTTACTTAGTTTATTTGTGTTATTTTAGTTTGTTGGTCTAAGTTACGCAGGTGGTTAATATAATAAGCTCCTGTCTTCTGGCACTAATTAGGTTGTGAGTTCTGGAACACCCTACACTGAGGAGTACATTACAATATACAATATTGTGTACTGTTTAATCAGTATATTGTATCACTAGTGACACTACAAGGTAACATATATAAATATCCACTTATTGCATGATTACTGTCGGCTATGTAGCGTGGTTACTTCGTATTTCTACACTTGACCTAATCAAACTTGCCAGTTAGCCCTGGCAGTATACCACCTGCGCCAATTGACTTTAGAAACTTTGTATAGAATCTTAATTTTGTGACTCATTTTTAGTTGATTTGTCTAAGTATCTCAGCTGGTCAATCTTGTAGTGCAAATTTCTGCTGATCTTGAGGTTGCGAGTTCGAATCCCGTACATCGTACTTATTACGTGGTATACATATAAATATGTACCGAGATATATTTGTATACAATGTACAGTGTGTACCGTGTATAGTGTATACTGTACATTGGGTATCAAGTTGGAGTATATGAGCCCGATAATTTTATCCACACTGTCGGCTTAGTATCGTGGTTACTTCGAATAATTGTTATATTTACCTCCTATTGACTAGGGTACCTTACCCCAGCAATGGAAACCACTTACGCCATCTGACCTTTTAAACGTTGTACTTCAATAAGGTATGTTAGTTTATATGTGTTATTTTAGTTTGTTGGTCTAAGTTGCTCAGGTGGTTAATATAATAAGTCCCGTCTTCTGGCACTTAGGTTGTGAGTTCGAATCCCGGTCACCATATCTTATATCATTGGACACACAAAATATAACATGAATAATTAAATATGACGTCACTACAATATGACGCATGCAGAATTTAATTAATTAGATTCAGTTTGCTGTGCCACACTACCACATTATCGTATGTTTACATAGAGCCATCGTAAATATGAATGATATTAAGAGCTCTACATAATATATGCATAAAGTGTTTATATTGTGCAGCACTATACATTATATTGTACTATGTGTATTGTGTGCTGTATAATCTGTATATTGTATCATGTATCACTAGTGACACTACAGGGTTAAGTTTAAGTACCTTCTAATTATATAATTACTGTCGGCTATGTAGCGTGGTTACTTCGTACTTCTGTAACACTTTGACTACCACTCAAACTTGCTGGGTTAATCCTAGCAGTATACCACCTGCGCCATCCGACTTTATAAACTTTATATACAACTCGATAATCTTACTTATGTGGCTTATTTTAAGTATCTCAGTTGGTCAATCTAGTAATCTGCATGTCTTCTGGTCTTGAGGTTGCGAGTTCGAATCCCGGTCAAACCAAGATTTCATAACTGAAGAGTAGCCGTCACGCACCAAACCAATGTAGCGGGGCTTATTAACATATTATAAAAGTTCAGAATATTTGATTATTGATAGTGTTGCCTTATCTCAATATCTCAGTCCAGCTTCCATATCTTAGATTCGATTAGTAGCTTGCTCTCTCGTTATTTGTTAGGACACTATGTATAATGTATAATGTATATGTATATGAGATCACAATAATACTTATCATGCTCATTTTAATTATATATGTTGTAAACAAACTCAAACGGTAACAATGACATGTTACCTATTGTTAATACTATAAAGTGTTGTACTTACTTGTGCTATTGACACAATTCTATTATTACACACCTAAATACATTACATCAAGACAACAGGTCTCTCCTCGAGTCTTTAATAGCTCTATGCAATGATGCAATGATGCACTATTAACTATTTCCTAATGAGCAGCTCAAACTACGTAAGTTATGTAGTTTGTTACATACATGGAGGGAGGGAGGGAGGGAGGGAGGGAGGGAGGGAGGGAGGGAGGGAGGGAGGGAGGGAGGGAGGGAGGGAGGGAGGGAGGGAGGGAGGGAGGGAGGGAGGGAGGGAGGGAGGGAGGGAGGGAGGGAGGGAGGGAGGGAGGGAGGGAGGGAGGGAGGGAGGGAGGGAGGGAGGGAGGGAGGGAGGGAGGGAGAGAGAGAGAGAGAGAGAATGATGTATGATGTATGATGTATCCTTCAGTATTGTAAGCACAATCCAAAGTTACCCCGTAAGTAGCTTGTTACGTGTACAATGTACATAATATATACATAATACAATTATACATGAGGGACAGTGTGGGTGATATAATAGTCATTGCAGAGAGCTATCTATAATCTATATCTGTTCATTAGTTCGTATCCATGGAAATATCATTTTATGTATTACAATCCGTATTGTTTGAGTATGTATATAGCACAATCTATTGTTTTTGTCTTAGCGTAAAACTTAATAATTCACTATACTTCACTCCGAATGTATTCAACTTTACTTCACCGCACATTTCACCAGGGGTTACTAAAACGACGAACCGGCGTGGGTCTGATAGCCCAAGTCCTTGACGATCTAGGTATAACATACTTCAACTCTGAGACTAAGGGGAGAAAGGGAGGAGCTGGCAAAAGAGCTAAAAAGTAGAGATCTTTCCTTGGTATCCTGTTAATAATTGGCAGTCACGTGGTTATCGATTATTCAAATCACTTTTTTATCTTGATTGATTGAAAAATGAGAATTTTGTCAAAAAGATTTTCCATATTTGAAGAATATTTGATGTTAGTTAAACATACAACTATCGTCAAACTATACTGCATACCTTTCATTCAGTGATATTGATATTCGCGATTTTTAAGATTTTGGTTATATTTTGCAGCTGAATTATTTTTAATAACTGTATTTTTTACCAGATACTTGATTGTAGTTTTAGCAAACGTTTTTCACTGGAACAACGGTTATCAATGGAACATGTCTTCTCGTTTATTTTGGTATAATTATCATCGCGTACAAATTTTATAAGCTATCAACAACATTTCTGAGTTCCCTTCCTATTTCAATTTTTTTCCTGCATACAATTTATTCGATGGAAATTCAGCAGTTTCAACCTTTGTCCTCGACATGTTTTAGTAAATATTGATAGATAAATAATCGAGCCAGCACAAAATATTGCGTTAAAGCTACCAAAAAGTCAAACATTATAATCGGATCGAGAACTCATGGTCCATTAATTGTTGTTCGCAAACAAATATTTTTACTTTTAGACTGTAGTGGTACAATATATCATCTTCTAATTTATTTGAATTGATCGTTCTGATCACTTTCCTTAAACCTGTTCTCTTGTTCTCCAACACACAGAAATCAATATCGAGTTTTAAAGCAATTTGTCTTACGTCATCTTAAGGTATCACCATCTACTTGTACGAAACAGTACCTCATTATCTTAATTAAAATGACCCTCTTAACTTAATTAAAACTAACCTCACCCCAATAATAGCAGTATGGTGAACCAGAGGAGACTAGCACTGCCGAACCCTCACTTGACGGAAGTAACCGAGGACTTTCTGTACCACCTGGGTCTTACTACTCATGATAATCTCTCTGAAATGTTCAGAGATGTCAAGGTATGAGGGGTTAAATTATATCAGTAATATTTGTAATATTATTAGTCAAGGTATGGGGGTTAAGTAATGTTAGTAATATTTCTAATATTATTAGTCAAGGTATGGGGGTTAAGTAATGTTAGTAATATTTCTAATATTATTAGTCAAGGTATGGGGGTTAAGTAATATTAGTAATATTTCTAATATTATTAGTCAAGGTATGGGGGGTTAAATAATATCAGTAATACTACTTTAGATTTGTTTGGAGAGGCGAATCATACACAGTAATATTAGTAATATTTCTAATATTATTAGTCAAGGTATAAAGTCAGGACTGAGGGCTGATTCGATGTTTTCGTGACTTCTTCAATGTGATTTGTTCTGAAATAAGCAGAAGACAATTTTTTCTATTGTGATATAAAAACGACCAAACCAAGATCTCTGTATTTCGACCACGTGACTAAACCACGTGACTAAAGTCTAAACCACGTGACTAAACAACTCCCCAGTCACTTGACCCCTACCCCTCAGTTTATCGTGATGGGAGGTTCCAGTAACACGATGTTAGAGTTTGCCAAGTACGCCCGGGGAGAGTTGTACCTGCCCTCTGACCGACTGGAGAACCTCTGTAGATCAGAGAGATACGGACTGTGGAAAGTGGGCCCCTTGCTGGTTGTGGCGGTGGGTCCTGTTTGTTGTTAATATTAAAGTCATTATTGTAACGGTATATTAGAACCAGACAGAAACAAAGTGTGAGGGGCCAGCAAGGACATTCATATAACTGCTTTGTAAGCTTGTTTAGTTAGCTGATTTTTGTAGTTAGGAGTGTGATTTGCTGAGCGACTTAAAACAGTCTTGCTAGTATTTTACGAAATCTCTTTAGTTGAAAAATCTTCTTCGATGAGTAATACATATTGGTGTCTCATCTTATTGCTACCTAGCCCGATTGGATCCTAATTTTATTGGCTTCAGCACGGAGTTGGAGCACCCTCTATAACGATACTCCTACACGAACTATTCAAACTAGTTCACTACAGCAACGCTACCAACGTCATGTTCATTAGAGTTGGAACCTCCGCCGGCATCGGTGAGAAAAATCTACCTGCTATTCAGCTAATTATTGATTTTCAGCTAAATATTGATGATATTCTCCATTTGAGAGAACTTGCTAGTGACCGTGGTTATTGGAGTAACTTGTTCAATTTTATACTCGAGTACAAGTCAATTTGACTTTTGGGACATATAATTTTACAAAGGATCGCGTTTCGGTTCTAAATTATTTTAGGATTGTTGACATTTGTAAGATTGACATGTTTGATAACAATTGATTTGATTAATTAAATGCAGTCTAACTTACTAATTCGTGCTGTTCTTCTCTTTTAGAAAGTACATTAATTAACTACACCCTTAAAATTATAAAATATCTACTGCAGGTGTGGAACCCGGCACAATCGTTATATCAGAGAATGCTCTTAATGCTTCACTCAGAAAGGAACACAGACAGGTTGGTGTTCAGATGAATATATTGTCAATGATTAATCAAGTTAATTGTTTAATTGGTAGTCACCTGTTTGTGAGCGTTTAATGGACTAATTGCCTGTTTGTGAGTGTTTGAGTATCTCAATTGTGTCTTGTGCCATCCTCAGTGACCTTGCTAGATGATCACTCAAGAAAATTCAGTCAAAACAGTAAAATTTTGGTCGCGGAAAACTGGAATCTGAAAATTTCCTACCGGTAATAATATGGATGTGAAAGTTTACAGCTTTTTAACAGTTTATTGTCCCTTTGGTAGGTTGTGTTGGGCCAGGAGATCTCCAGACCAACGATACTGGACCAAGTTCTAGCTCAAGCTCTCCTAATGTGTCAGAACGACCCCAACATACCCTCCATGTTGGGAAGTACTCTATGTGCTGAGGACTTCTACGAAGGTAGGCTAATGTCTGAGATATTTTGATTGTTGATGGTATGTATACAATTAAGAAAAAATCTCAGGATATAGAAATGTAAGATATTTCACTACAAAGTACAGAATATAAACATCAATGTTGGGCACATGCACAGTTTCTGGTGGCAATAAAGTTGAAGGCACCAGAACACCAAATTTACTTATATCTCTACTTATATCAGTTCCATTCTACTTCCTAGTTTGATTTACCGCTGGCTGCATCTCCAAATCAGCCCTTTTCTTGACCTTTACCCTCCGTGCCAACAGAGTCTCAACATATGCGCATGTCTTAGGGTGAGCTGCAAAGTATATCAGAGGATTGATGATACCATTGGTTATTACAATCCCTGAAGCAGTGACCAGAAACCGTCCGAATTTTAGATTCCTCCGGAAGATGATGAAGAGCATGTTGATGTACATGAGAGTGATGAGGATAAAGGGGACAATAATGAAGCAGACCCCCTTTATCTCATAATCTCCTGGATAAATAGTAATACATCCGTGGTACTGTTCGAAGTACTTAACAGTTATGGTTCCTATGGTATAACCCACTGTTTCATAGAGCAGTAGACAAAAAATAGGTAGCCAATTTGCTACAAACATGATAACAGAAGTCTTGATGGTAATGATGGAGCTGTGTCGAAGTGGAAGGGTTATAGCCACAGCTCTGTCGATGGTGAGAGGCAGCAAGGCTAGCATACTGGAGTGTCCCAGGGTATTAAGGGAGATAGCGTATAAAGCACATGATAAGGTAGAAGTATTGTGTGGGGCGCCCACAAACTTTCTGTTTATTAACCCTAGTCCCCTGAAAACTCCCAAGAGAGACACGAAGACATCACTGACGGCCAAGTTGATGATGAAGAGGCTTTTGCAGCTGGCAAGTTGAATTCTACGGAAGGCAAGGAAGTAAATGATGGCGCTGCTGAAAAGAATACCGAGGAGTCCTATAGCTGCTAGTATCGAGCCCTGGGTACGGATTGGAATGTTTAATTTAATATTAATAATATTAAACACGAAATAAATACGAAACAATTTATTAACTTTATGATGACCAATGAGCCAGATCAATTGCCAAAGATGGCACAAGAAAATTTTATAAGACATAAATGTAAAATAATTTGCCACAAAACTTTAAAAAGAACTTACGTTGACCATTCTGAATGGACAGACAGGCTCACTATCAATAACACACGAGTTGTTTTCAATATTGTAAGCCATAGTTGTTCCAAATCTGAACGTTAATCTTAATTGACATAAATTTATTTAACAGAGGGTTCCTTGTATAGTGGAATATTTGCGAATCGAGTAGCATAAACATTTAGGCATAACAAACTCGTAAATCATCTCTACTATAATTCAGAGAATTCTTTCTGCTGTACGACCGCCCACGTGCAAATCAGACGAAAAATAGGAAGTTGCAAAGATACCATGGTAACAATGATTGCTACACGCACGTGCACGTGCAATGATTGTTTCAACGTCATTTTGATCGGTTTTGTTGATATTACGCTGTGTTTAGTACAAGCAACATTTTAATTGGCTGTATCTTCGGTTGTGTAGGATATTTTTTGACGCGATTTAAACTTACTAACAAAAAAATACTAATACTATTACTATTAGCTTCCTCCCTGTGACTACGGGTTTTCTAGTTTATACATAATATAGACTTATAGAGCTTTTTCAAGAATCAAAGAAAAGCATCAGTCGAAAAGTGTACTTGACCTTAAAGGAGTTATCAGTAATAGTAACTGTGACAAATTTTTAATTCTGTTGTTTTTATTCTGGAATTTGTTTTATGTGCCCACGCCCTGAGAAATACCATACTTCAGTTTTGGTTATCCTGTAATCAGAGGAATGCTGTTCAATTTCCATTTCAGAAGACATGAACAGTGTTCAATGAACAGTGTTCATTGAACAGTGTTCATTGAACAGTGTTCATTGAACACTGCCAGTGTTCATGTCTTCTGAAATTAGTTCTCTTTAGAATTTAAATCACCGGCCAATAAGTATAGCAATACCAGGACGTGACATAAATCATAACTCTGTCTCCATATAATAAGCCCTAATATTATGATTGAACTTAGTATTCAAACTGGGCCTTTTGTCATGTACAATTGCTTACGCCGGCGAGGTTGAATCACCTATAGAGCTGTTGGGGGTCGTTCACATATTACGTAATCTAATAAAACAAATATTTAAAACAAAAAATAAACAATCAGCTGAGGGGGGGTTTCCAAATGCTTACGGTTGATTACGGGGGGGGGGGGGGGGGGGGGGGGATGGGGTTGGATCTTGATGACGGTTGATTACGGAGGGGGGAGGGGGTAAAAATTGCTAAAATATTGATTACGTAATATCAAATATGTGAACGACCCCAAAAAACCTAGACATGCAACCTGCAATCCGAAGGTGATTGGAGCCCTTACGGGCTAGCTACTATTTACTATGGGAATTTAAAACGCTTTTTAAAGATTCGATGTAATCATAATCGATTCTAATAATCACTTAGTGGAAATGTTTGAATCGATTGTGATAGACAATTATTCTTTAAAAACTCTTGATCGCAGGTGCTTTTACTGTATAATAGATCTTTAGTTATCAGGTTGTAATCTTAACTCTTAGTTGTTAGTAAAGACTACAAGTAAAACTCTAACAAATAATACTCATAATATCCTGCGCTCTAATTCAAGATGGGCTATATTCTGCAGAATATTACTGCAGAATTATAGCACAGACACTCTAGTTAAGGCACATAGTCATTAGTCAGTACCGACCTCTCTTATTGTTGTAAACAGTCAAATGCAAATTAGCTGAATGTAAGTTGTCAAATTTCCCAATGAATTACCAATCGGTATGGATTTGCAACAATAAGTAAGACAAGGACAATTTTTGTTTCAAAAATAAAAATTTAACAAAATAGTAAGTTACAAAAATCGTAAACACTCCCCTTAATCAAATCGTAATGCTTACGGTTGATTAAGGGGGGGGGGGGGGGGGGTTGGATATTGATTCTTGATTATGGTTGATTACGGAGGGGGAGGGGGTAAAAATTGCTAAAATATTGATTACGTGAACGACCCCTTGCTACTAAAAAACTGATTTTGAACCATTTGACTAACTTATAACCAATGAGATTTAAGATATTCCGCCACGTGAACAAGGCTTATTATGATCATGTTATCTAGTAGCTCCGCTCTGGCATAAGACGGAGAGTGAACAGATCATACTACTCAGCCACTACATTCTTGCAATGTGAAAAACAGGTCGACTCATTGTGTTCACTGTTAGTGATACATTTTATTGTTCAAATCAGCTGAAATCAGAGCTAAAATCGGTTCCCGAGTAGAACCTAGTGAAAATGAAACCGCACCAGTGTGAGCACAGGAAGAGTGTGGAGAGTTACCACTGTAGGTGGCTGCTGACCTGTGAGACAATATTTGAATTGTATTGCTATTAACGGGGATTATAGCAGTAGATGATGTTTACAAGTCAATTTCGGGATCACCTGAACCTTTGTTTTGGGACGATTATAGCAGTTATTGGTCATGTTGTCATGGTTATGCAGTTGCGAGAAAAATGGCTGCTGGACAACTTTGTCTCCTGCTAATTTATATAATATGTAGTTAGAAAGTTAACAAGCAAGCTAAGATTTGGATTAAAGCCTGGTTGCTAAATTCTCCTATCCGGTGAACTTCTAGTATTTATGGTTACAGTCCAATTTGTGGTACTTTTACGAGTCAAAAGACTGTTTGTTTGAAGGAGAAGCTACTTAAAATGACACATTTTTATAAACATAATAGATATAATTATATATTAATATTACTGAATACTGAATACTAAATTATGAATATTGAATAATGAATATTACTGAATAACGAATAATGAATACTGAATACTAAATTTATTTACCACTGCAGGGAATACTGGTTGTAACTAGAAAACATAAGTTGTTAAAAGTGAGTTTACTAGGGAACCGGTAGTTAAAACAAAATATATGTTGTTTCTGTCACTTTCGATGTATCAGTCACAAACTAAACGAAAGGCCGTGGGACATCAATCATATCCTATCTCTCGTGAAAGTACCATCTATGATTTATTATGCATTATTCTGAATCTGAATCTGAACTCCAAGAAATCTCCATCTTGGGTAAAGACACAATTTCGGGTGGCGATGTGGTTGAAGGCACAGCAACACCAAGTCTGGTTAAAGTTAACCCCCTACTGGGACCTACTGAAGGCTGTACTACTGACGACTGTACTGCCGAAACCGAAGTGCTCCTTCTTGTCCGGCTCCGAGAGAGCCGAGAGTCAACATATTCCCGTGTTTTAGGATGCGTTGCCAGGTATATCAGAGGGTTAACAATACCATTGATGTAGTACACAGTTACAGTCAGTATTTGTGATACTTCATAGCTGTGCGGTATGTCCCACATTGCAGTGACCACAGTTGGAGAGTAAGCAACCAGACCCGTTATTATAATACCGGATGCAGTTATCAGGAACCGTCCAATGCGTATTTTCCTTTTGAAGATAATGAACATGATGGTGGCATACAAGGTCAGGACAAGGAGAAAGGGAATGATGACGAAGCAGAACTTTTCGATGTTTCCAACTATAAGACCTGTAACCATAAGACATCTGTAATATCTATCGTTGTATTCTATCTGAATGGTTCCTGTAACCCACGCTATCAATTCATAAAGCATTAAAGCTAGATTTGGTAGCCAATTTGCTAAAAACATGATAACACAAGTCTTCTTGGTGATGATGGAGCTGTGTCGAAGTGGCAGGGTTATAGCCACAGCTCTGTCTACAGTCAGGGGGAGGAGCACGGAGATGCCGGAGCACGCAAAGGTCGTCAGAAATATTTTGTATATTGCGCAGAATGGGGTGGTGGTGTTATTCGGTGCTCCCACAAACTTGCTGTTTATTATTCCTAGTCCCCTGAAGACTCCCAAGAGAGAAACCAAGACATCACTGACTGCTACGTTGATGATGAAATAGCTCTGACATCTGGCGAGTCTGATTCGGCGGAGGGCCAGGAAGTAAATCACGGAGCCGCTGAGGAGTATACCGAGGAGTCCTATAACTGCCAGCACCGAGCCCTGGGAATATTGGTGAGGATAAGAATGCACAATCTTTCGGCAATGACTGGAGAAAATGATTTAAATCACCGTTATTAATTATAATAAAATTGCCGCAATGGTTGTTTTTATTTTTAAATTCCACAAAACTAAGTTGATGGCCCAAGATCTTGTTTTCAGAAATCGCTCAAAATGATAGTTTTAATTTAATGTATACAATTGTGTCGAACTTATCTTCTTTGCATCAATTATCCACAATTGTACAGATCTTTATAACAACTGAGCGATTTAAAGAACACTTACGTTGACTATCCTGAAGGAACATACAGTGTCTTTCTGTGTTATACACGTGTGGTTATCTATGTTGTAGCCCATAATTCAGCTCAATTCACTTGCAAAACAAGATGTTTTAGATGTTGGTTTTAGAAAAGTTTCCCTTTTCACAAAGCAGAAGACACGTATTTCGGATGGAAATTGTAATTCAAGCAAATATTGAATTACTCCAAAACTCGGGAGGATAAATTCTATTCCCCGTACTACCAAGTTGAGCCATTTGGAGTTTAGACAACAAGAAAATAAAGTTGGAAACTCGATTCAATGGGGCGCAAACTACAATATATGTACAATCACAATGGACATATTCATGAAAGCATATTCTGCACTGAAAATCACTCAAAAATACAGATGTGCGAGATTTCTGGTTTTAAAGGAAGTTCTTGAAGACATTCGGCAAAATGGTCACAATAGCTATGTTTATGTGCAACTTATGAAGCCGTCGATTATGTAGCAACATGCCGTCGAAACTTATTGTTCATTTTTTCGCGAAGGTGATGAGGTTCATTAAACAATGGGAAGGTGGTTCGACGGAATTATATCTGTTAATTTCTTTATAGTTATACTTAACTATTAATTATATTATACTTAAAACTATATTATACTATAACATTATGTCTGATAAATGTAATATACTAGTCGGTCGTGACGAACTACTAGTTACTAAGGCTTGTTACTCAACCGTAGTGATTGTCTCCTGAGCCTTAACTTTCATGAGTGAATGGTTTGTTGCCAGTACTTCAAGATGAGGCAAACAAAGCAACAAACTGTTTCAAGGGAAAATTTATTTATAGTACTTACAGAGTTGTAAATCGCGATAAACATTTCATAGTCTGTACGGTTCAAATGATTGCAGCGAGATAATCATCATATCACACTGCCGTTTACAATAGAAATTGTTCGCAACTGAGGAATGAGCTTTAAACCTAATTAAAAAACCATTTACATAAACATTTTTCTTATCCTCCAAAATAGTAACATTACAACTTCAAATGAACATTTCTATTTCAGCTTCGTACTCAAAATCCAGTTTTTAACAATTACTCAAAAAATAAGCCTCTAATGCCTTAAATATGTCCAAAGTGCTAAGAATTAAAAATGTATTTGTTTCCGCACATTTTGGTTTGTGTCGGAGCTCTGTATCTCAATCAGAAACTGAGATACTCGCAAATTGGACGAGGTTCCGAGAAACGTAGCACTAGTTAGAAAGTGTACTCGATTCAATTTTGTTACTCAGGGTCTAATAAGTCGAATTAAGTTTAGAAATCTCTGGCAGCCGACTATTTGTGGGCGGGATTGTTTCCAGTTAGAGGATTATCTCGGCTGAGTAGAGGTTAGACGCTCCGAAACAAAAGGGCTGCTTTTACCTGTCCTGAGTTCAAATTCACTCCTTTTTTATCGAAGATTGTTCTAGACTATAGACCGAACTACTGGTTCTTTCTGAACGAATTTATGACAGCCGAGTCTGGAAATATTCCCGTGTTTTAGGATGCGTTGCAAGGTATATCAGGGGGTTAATAATACCATTGGTGTAGTATACTGTTACAGTCAGTATTTGTGATACTTCATAGCTGTGCGGTATGTCCCAAATAACTGTTATCACAGTTGGCGAGTACGTTAGCAGACCCGTTATTATAATCCCAGACGCTGTCACCAGGAACCGACCACATTTCCGTCCCGTACTGATAATGATGGACATCATGGTCCCGTACAAGAGAAGGATAAGGAAGAAGGGAACAACGAAGAAGCATATTTCTTCAGCATGTTCAATTTTACTTGATCCTGAAATAAGACATCTGTGAAATCTATCGCTGTATTCGATAATCCATATCCCTGTAGTATAAACTATTATTTCATAGATCAGTAGAGCAAGAATTGGTAGCCAGTTTGCTACAAACATAATGACACAAGTCTTCTTGGTGATGATGGAGCTGTGTCGAAGTGGCAGTATAATAGCCACAGCTCTGTCTACAGTCAGAGGGAGGAGGACTATTGTACCGGAACTCGCCACAGTTGTCAGACACATTTTGTAAAGAGCACACGATAAGGTAGCAGTTTTATTTGGGGCGCCCACAAACTTGCTGTCTATTATCCCTAGTCCTCTGAAAATGCCCAAGAGAGAGACCAAGACATCGCTGACTGCTACGTTGATGATGAAATAGCCCTGGCAGTTGGAAAGTCTGATTTTACGGAAAGCAAGGAAGTAAATCACGGAGCCACTGAAGATGATACCGAGGAGTCCTATAACTGCCAGCACCGAGCCCTGAGAATATTAGTGAGGATAAGAATGTTAATTATTTGTCAACTACTCCAGGAAAGAATGTTAATCACCAATCTATTTGTAATTTAATAATAGCGACTGTTGTGTCGGGTGGCCCCGAAATAGCTGTAAAAACGTTTAGTTTAACGTTTGATCAACTGTCTACACTGATATTTTTCTATATTAATTATCCTCACAGCTACATATTGAATAATTAGAAACACTTACGTTGACTATCCTGAAGGTACATACAGTTTCTTTCTGTGTTATACACGTGTGGTTTTCTATGTTGAAGCCCATAGTTCAGCTCAATTCACTTGCAAATGCAAAACAAGATGTTGGTTTTAGAAATATTTTGAGCGTTGCACCGATCCTAATTATGCTAACTTTGCCATGAATCCGTGCATCAATCATACGTAAAATTACAGAAATCTGGTAAAATTAACCTTTAAGAGGTCCTAGAGACTATTTGTCAGTCAAAATGTCCGTATTGTGTTTATATAATATAAATATAATAATAATAATATGTAACTTATACTGCAACATTAGGAACCGACCGGTCTAGGTTTTTGGCTGCCGGACCGGAAACTACCGGATATCAATCTATTTACCGGTTTGCCGCATTTTGCCAAACCGGAACCGGGTAATAAGAAGAGGAAATTTGAGGCTGCTGGCAATTTCCGGAAAAGTGAGATTAATCCTTGATTGTGGGTTTTTATCAATTATAATATTAAAAGTCATGTGGACACAATAAGAAAGTGCTTATTCATGCCCTATCTCAAATTTCAACAAATGTTATGCTTTGCGAGTAGCAGTCACTAGTTGATATTTTGTACGAGCAGTGCAGTGCAGAGGTCACTGATTGATCTGCTGTATGAGCAGAGATAGAAACGAGTTAGAATAAAATCAAAACGCACATTGCAAGAATTCACAGTTGCATTTTGCGTAGCACAAATGTAGAAATTATTCTAGAAGTAAAGTTCAAATTCTTGGAAACTGGATCGGAACCGGATATTAAAGCCTGATATCCGACCGGAACCGGTCAGTTCCTTTGCAAAATTAACCCCAACAACTCAACAAGATTCCTTATCGAGCTTTATTAGGAAAATATTGAAAGCAAAATGGCTATTTTAAACCACTTCTCATCACGCCAGGCCAAGGCAGACTGGACGGTGCATTCTGTGATTACACGGAGGAGGATAAGATAGAGTACCTGAGGAGAGCCTACAGTATGGGGTGCCGGAATATCGAGATGGAGTCATGTGCTTTTTCCTCTCTTTGTCACCGAGCCGGTGGGTCTTATTTTATTTAATACTTTTTTCGTAGATAAGACTTAATTTGTAACTGTTTTAATAGTGTCATCAAATTGGAAGTGTAACTTGATAAATGAAACTACGGTGGATCATGACTGTTCCTAACGATTATCTGAAGAGTCTTCTGAAGACAGTGTAAATTTGTAACGAATAAAATCGAGTTTGATTATCGAATTATCATGACTAAATAAATAACTACTATTAGTAAAGTAAATTTTATAATTAAAGTAACTTTTATAAGTAAAATAACTTTTAAATAAGTAAAATAACTTATAAAGGAATAAAATAACTTTTAAATAAGTGTTATTACAGGTGTTCGGGGTGCGGTGGTATGTGTGACCCTAATAGACAGACTACAGTCAGATCTCATGTCCCCTCCTGATGTAGAAAGGTATGTTTGGGTGGTTGAAAACCTCACCCAATTAGATCCAGTGCCCACACAGCTAACACTCTAACAGTGTACTTAATAAGCTTGACGGTGCCCACTATGAACTAATCAACAACATTTTCTGAGTTCTAATAGTCAGCGAATCTGGCAAATTTAAAACATTGAATTATTTTGATTCGACTTAAAAATCATCAGGCCGTAACATAATTCTGGTATTAGCAGCAGGTGAACAATTTAATGGAAATACTTTGAGTTTTATTTTGCGGACAAAAATTTACTGTTAAAATAGACTTACCATTATTTTAGCTACCGACCAAGCTCAATGGCTGCAGCTGGCAGATAAACACCGCCCGCCATTCATCCCGCATATTTAATGGCGAGACCATCCTCCAACTTCTAAAAATTTTATATTTAATTTACTTTTAGTAACTAATATTAGGTCCATAATACGAGTCCTAAAGTTCAATTTCTCCACGAAACTAAAATCGTCCTCCCTCTGTCAGATACGACGAGTTAGTGAGACGCCCACACCAGCTTGTGATTAAGTTCATCAAGAGACAGCTGGGACTTAAGATAAAGGAGAACAAGTCCCTGACTCAGGCTACCTCAACTCCTCCCGCCCAACCTGTGACGTCATAGTGATGTATCGCAGTGACGTCATTGTATGGTGACGTCATTAAATAGAGAGGAGATCTTATTACTTTCTTTGTTTCAATAACAACTCAAGACTTGAAGTCCAGTAAGAAAATGACTGCTTAGAAAGCGAAATTTAAACTCAAATTCTGGATTTATGTGTTATCGAGACTGTATTCTACCTTGTTCTGTGTACACACAATTTCAAGTATCAAGAGTGAGCACATGTTATATTATGTGATAGTGATAAACTTTGATGGCATCTGAATTTTGTGTATGATGCTCTAGTTGTACAAGTAGAGAAATCTTACTATTTACCTATTATGAACTGAAATATTAAGTTTTTATCAGGTTTATTCGATATTCTGTTTGTGGTTTTGGCTTGGAGTCATTAAAGAGTATTTCCATAGATAGAAATTGGGCTGGTGTAAACCTTTTTTATAGGACAAAGCGAATGAAAATCTAATCGAGAGATGATAAAAAAGGTTCCAGTTTGTTTAAATTGGCGAAGCATTTGTTAACGATCGTTGACAGATAAGTCTGTATAGCTTTTTGTATTAGCCAGCAATAAATTATCTTTACAAAGACAACTGATAATGATTGCCACCGATTTATTTTATTTGAACTGATATTTATAAATGTTGCCCGCTTGAACTTGCTGAAACTGAAAGTATCAATTCTTATTATTTATTATGTTTAATTATCGATTTAACCGTTCTTTACGAGGGCACATGGAAACAGGTTTTCATCAGTGGATAATCCTTTGTTATCGTTTTGCAGTGTATTTGTTCAAAAATTCAAACAATTGTTTCAGTTTTGCAACTCTTTGAAATTAATAAAATTGAATACAGCACCAATAATAATTGTCGTGAAAACTTCAGAGGCTGAAGATTGAAAATTTAACATGTTATTCTTATATTTCATCGAAAACATCAACCGAACTTGTACATTGTAAGAAATAGACGGTACAAACAACAAAGCGTCTTAGTCGAAAATGTTTGTATCGTTTGTGTAATATGTAGGATTAGTTGATTATGTTCATTACCTAAAGACTTTTGAGTCTTGAAAAAGTAAAAATTGTAATATTATGATGATTCATAGTCAAGGAATGAGTCGAAAACATTTCCACACGTTAATAATACAACAAATTGTCGTCGAGAATTCATCCAGAACATCAAAGAGCCAACTACGTAATACATAAAAATACCAGATCTTCTTGAACAAGAATAAACCGCAATCTTGGGAATGTAATCTGTTGTAATCTAGTCAATAAAATAAGAATCGTCTGGGCCAGCCTAGTCAAATCTATATATCAACTTACAACTGATCTTTTAAACACTGCTTTAAAATAATTCTGCTAAGTTTAAATAGATATTATCAATTTATCATCTGCAAAAACTTGAAAATTTAATAAAACATCACATTTATGCAGATTGAATGACTCAAATAGTTTTATTACAAATATTTATCTATACTAAGAAGTATTAACATGAATAGCATGAGCGCATTGTTCAAATAGTTTCAATATAAATTAATCAGTAATCACAATGTCTGTGGTAAAAGTTCCAGCAACCCTCTTATTCTCTTGTGAAACCTCCGTGTCCAGGGAAGCTGTAAGCTCTGGATGGATCCTTGGTGTTTCTGTACTGTATCGCCAAGATAATGCCAATCAACTGAAACAGTTAGAGCTACAAGATAAATACAAAATAGCTAATTAATTGAAGTGAGCTTCCGGTTTAAAGGTTGCCATAAAATTTCATTCCATAACAAAACTCTCGGGGACATTGCACGCGTGTGTGATTTGTAACAATTTAAAACTCTCTCTCTGATATTCATAATGCACTGCTAATTCTCTAGTGTTCTGACGAGTACAAACGAAATTTCGTAGCCATTATCCCAATTTAGGGCAATGACTGGTCATTTCAGATCAGGCGCGGCACCGTTTATCCTATTTATGGTTTAAACGACTAGTACGTTATTTCTAGCATGGTAAACGTTGAAAAGAGTATGTTGCGCCATAAAAGAACAGTTTGGCGCCCGCGCGCTACGTCAAATCGAGATTTTCCGTTTCGCTTACTTATTCGAACATTTTAAAATAAGAGGTAAGGGGGCTGGGGGCCGGGGGTGATATGCGCCTATCCATTGTTAAAAACGGCTTCAACACTTACTGTTTAATGCTTAGTATAGGGTAGTAAGCCTTTGTTATATTTTATATTTGTAATTTTAGTTACATTTTCCGAGACTTGGTCTCAGCCAAGATACGGACCAAATTACAAAAAGCAAAACTCAAAACCCCCTCTTTTGCAATCTAACACCACATTTACACATCCTATTGTGTCGCCCCACACACACTGCTCCATAATCAGACAGTACCCACACACTCAGCTTATAACGCGTACCTCTGTGAAGGAGAAGAAGAGCCCCACAGCACCGGACACTTTCACTGCGTAAGAGAACTGGTCTGATACCTCGTCAGTACAGGCGTGACAACCTGTGTCTGTAACAGTCTTGTTGGGTTCTGGTCCAATTGTCTCGTTTAGGTAGCACTGTGTCTCGTCTGTCTTGTACAGGCTTTACGTGGGTAGTTGATGGTTAATTGGGGTAATTGATGGTTAATTAATTGGGGTAATTGATGGTTAATTGGGGACTATTACTGCAGTTTTAAGTGAACAAGGTGCATCGTCATAGACTGAAAATGTCAAGCGCCATTGCTCTAGCTGAGTAGCTGTAATACTACAAATAGTAAAATATGGAAGCAGATAAAATGTAATTAAAATAATTTGTCCTACTTTGCGCAACAGGTAAGAACCGAGCAATTCTGAGGAGGGAGGATAGAATCAGTGACATTCTGATCAAATCCACAGCAGTTAAACTTTCTCTGTATCTCATCTCGGCTGCGTTGATTTGAGTGTGAAAGTTAGAAAATAAGTATCTGATGTTTCATCAAATCATCGCGATTATAATTATATCAAGTCCAACAGTTTAAACATTTAGTGAAACGTATTCAAGAGCAATTCCATCACTTCAAATTGCTCTATCTAGATGACATCAATACATTTAGATTCGTTACGGTGATCAGGTACTCTAAACTAATAAGAACAGTATTAAAGTAAGTACTTTAGTAGTATTAAAGTGAATGACTCAATTTGTAAATAACCAGTCTCCAACCTGTGGTTAGTAGCGGTTACCCAGGATTTGTTGAGAATCTCGGCTTGTTGCTCAGTGTTAATAGCCACCAGGGTGATGGAGGATGCGAACTGCACGATACACAGCAACCCTAATACTACCATGTACTGTGGATCTTGTTAAGGAACTTTTAACTGTTACTTTTTAAATATGTTAGACGATTATTAGATGGTTGTGAATCGTGTTGAATGTGAGGCGTGAGCACATTATCGTGAAATTTGGGCGAATGATTATAGTAGAGTCAGAGCCCAAAGGTCGGTAGGTGTAGAAAAGCCACTGCTGCGATGTTATCCACGTCATTGCTTATTCCGGCTAAAAGCAAAGCTTATTCCGGCAAAACATTGATCAATTTAATGGACTTTCCACACAATGTTGTCTATATAACCACACAGCTCTATAATCACACAGCTTGTAACTTGATATCAGGTAATGGGTCCTAAACACAACTTGCCTTTTGTTACGATTCATACTCACAACAGTACACTATATTATACCTAAATATACTGAGGACAGGCTAAACGACACGAGCTATATTAGCTATGTTCAACTCTCTGATCCATGCTGACTTAATAAGTAAAACATTAATATGTAAAACTTAACGTGAATAACTAAGAGTACAGATGTAGACATGGAGTAATGTATGACGTGGATTCAGCTCTCTCCCTCTCACGACAGCTATGAATACCACGTGATATTGTCACGTGATAATACCACGTGATAATACCACGTGGGTATGTGTGTGTGTTTGTGTGTGTGTGTTTGACAATGTTGAGGTACCTCCCTGATCCCTATTGTGTAAAGCTCAATATCCTGGACTCAGCCAGAGGTATGTGTGGTGTGTACAGTGTAGCTGTGTAACTGTACACAATGTGAACTAGTAGGTGGTTATTGTGTGAGGGAACGAGTGTAAGAGCGAGTGTAAGAGCGAGTGTAAGAGCGAGTGTAAGAGCGAGTGTAAGAGCGAGTGTAAGAGCGAGTGTAAGAGCGAGTGTAAGAGCGAGTGTAAGAACGAGTGTAAGAGCGAGTGTAAGAGCGAGTGTAAGAGCGAGTGTAAGAGCGAGTGTAAGAGCGAGTGTAAGTACGTAACTTAGTCAATAAGAGTGAGTGTAAGTAGCCATATTTAGTGTGTTATGTACTAATATTATGCAGTAATTATGAACTTATTAGTGTTCCTAATTATCCTCATTCTAGGAGTGTATTTAAGGAGTGGTAGGAAATACAATAACATTGATTAGTTAATATATAAGTAGCAAGGTAATGAGATATTAAATACTACCTACTATAACTTAACTATGAGAACTGAGAAGCTTTCTCAACTATCTAAGTTGGCGTGCATCTACATTCTATAATCTACATTCTATATTCTATAGAATAAAATATCTCGCCTTCTTCTAGTCTCAAAAGATAGCTAGCTACCTCAGTTAGTCAGTTATATGGATCAAATAAAGGTAAGTTAGCTCTGCAATCTATTACACCATATTTGGTAAGAGGTAAGATCGTGTTCTGTTTGTACTAGAGTGCTGGAGGAGTTTTTGAAACATATTATAAATGATAGATTTGTACTGCTAGCAGGAGCTTTCAATAGTACATAACCAATTTACCAGCGGTTACTACACACACACACCCAGATCCAGTGATCACTAGAGTAACCACATTGAAATCAATTCTAACTCGGTTTACTCTTAACTAACACACAAACTCGTGATCCTATGTCACACACACCTGGTGTTCAGCTCACAAAGCAATCTACACACTCCTCTATATATATATATATACAGTATACACTCCTCTACACAGCTAATTATCTTGATTATCTTTGACACGTGTCAACTTCCGAGTTACTCAATACATCTTCTAAATAATGAGGTCTTAAACACGTTATTAACGACGTCATTAATAGTCAGCATTTATTCGATTAATGGCAGAATTGTTTGGCTAATTGTGTGATGTGATACTGGAAAGAAAGTGTAGAAAAAACAGTAGTATAGGGTAATCCAAAAGTTTGGAAATGACTTGCTTTTGAGAAATTCCAAAACTGTGAATGATTTTTTTTCATTTCAGTAAACAGTTCCTTGAAGTAGAAAGTGTTAATTTGATCGATTCTGAGTTTTGGAGGTTGTCATAACTACCAAAGTAATCTTTTACACCACCTCTAATTTACTCTAAACACTGTGTTTTGAGGGAATTAGAGGTGGTGTAAAAGATTTAGTAAACACACCCGAAATATTAAACACTGGATCCCTCAATTCTCGTCCCCACATTAACTCAGACACAAAAGAGCTCTCTACACAGGAATCAGATTACACCACGTGATACCACGTGACACTCAGAACAATACAACACACTCTAAGTTGTACACGTTGTGGCAGGATTACGAGAGGTGGAAGAGCTGGAGGCTAGGTGGTAAACATATTATTATAATATTGAACTTGAATATTCGCACTTGAACATTGAGGGGGAGCTGATAAATGTAACATTAGGATGAATAATGAATATTCGCATACCTCTCTCACAATGTGGTTATCACATGCTAGTAGTATCATGTGACACAGTGCAGGACACCTGTTTTAACTACTTATTCCAGATCAGTCTACTGTAACCTACACTAGAATGGTTGATATTAAATGGAGATTCGGGTGTCTTTCTTCTACATATCACAGAGACCTTTGAATTATACTATTGGATTGGTACATGCACACTTGAACCGCAGTTATTATTTCATCAGTTAGTCTCATCGTTTCAATAAATTATAGGATCAGTAATGACAAATTTCAAATTTGCACATGTCTTGTATGCAGTTTTAATTAATAACGCTTGATGTGCTTACAGCACAAGTTATATAGAAGTACAGTTGCAGTGTACACTGAACACTCCAACTTAGACGTAAACTGTATGGCAGGCTTTCTATAAATAGAAATATGGTGCAAGCAACCCATCTTCATTCTATACATGGTGGAGCAAAAACCTTGATATGATAACTAAAATGAGGATTCTTAGTCACTATAGTTCAGTGTATTAAATGGAGCTATATAATCTGATAGTTGAATATGGGGTAGGGTTAAGTGATCTAGTGAAAGTTGAATGTGCAAGTAAACTAATCTAAATAAGCAGGGAAAGGATACGAAGAAGAGCATGACTTGGTGGTGGTGTAGAGCTCCGCACAGTCCCAAGAATGAGAAGAGGAAGAGGAAAACTCCGGCAGCAATCAGAAACCCTATCAGACTGTAGCTTGTGAAGTAGTTCATTTTGTACGCAAAGGCTGGCACTGCTATCATTATCAGTGCAATCAACTGAGGTAGTTGCATGTTAATTTTTCTTACAAACTCTTGTCCATGGAAAGGAGCTTACTTGATCTTTAAGTTTAAATATAAATCACAGTCCTATCACTGGATATAAACAATCAACTTGATATCAAAGCTGTCATTTAATGGCGGTAAGCTATGCCAGTAAGCTAAGCCAGTTAAGTATCCAGTGTCTCACAATAAATATTGTTTACAAATCCTTCTCACCATGTAGAGAATGTTGAGAAGCACCAAGCCACTTTTAAGCTTTGCATACGAACAGCAACCCATGGTCAATTCTATCTAAAAGTTAAGTTTCAATATAAAAAGTTGATGTGTGTATTTAAAAGGTTAGTGGCAAACAAGATGAGAGTTATGAACATCGAAAATTCATAGATTTGTTTAAATTTGAAACAGTATCATGTTGAGATTAACTTAAACTGAGGATTATTAAAAGATGCATCCAATGTGGAAAGTTATTAAGATTAGAGAAAGTGGGCACAGTATGTACAAAACTTCTGGCAATTTGAAGTGAGAGCAATGAGAATTGGTAATGAGACGCTCTAAATACTTCGGTTAGTATGCAAATTTGACACAACTAGAAATTTGACACAACGAGAAATTTGACACAATACAAGAACAATTGAATAATGAGTATGTTATACGCGAATTAGAGGCTAATTGGGAAGCCAATGGTATTCTCCGATGAATTATGGTGCTTAACTATCTTGAAACGATGTAACCGTTTAACTAGGATAGAGATCAAAATTGGGCTTTGAGGTTAACATCATGCTGTTACTATCTTGCCTGTCAGGTTTCTTGTGAAAACTCAAAATGGAGATGGTCGGTTGAGTTGTTATGTGTTAAAATTTTCACAATTGGAAATTGCTAAAACACTTTTTAACATCAATCGCCTCGGTAGGCATTTATATTTTTGATGATCCATGAGCATTTGGAAGGGATGACTCTCTCTTTAAAAATAATGGAATCGTTTTCCTCGATCTACCACCATGTTCCCTACCTTGAAGGGACATGAAGCAAAATTGCTTGAAGTGACTGTCGATGAGGACTTAAGTTCTACTTCTTGACGCAAAATGATGTCAGTTACATAAGACTAAAAAGAGTTTTTAGCATGAAGGTCATGCCCGTAATTTGTAATTATGATTATAAGATATAAAAATTCCAAACTCTGAAACTCAGGACAACTCGGATTTAGCAGGTGGCAGTCAATATATGCCCTCTTTCAATCAAAAGAGTTTGTGAAATGTGACCACACGATGTGTCAAATGATTGTATTGAAAACAGATTCACGTTCGATTGAAATGTAATCGAACATACTTGCAGTTGGAATAAACAATTGTAAATTCATCTATAGCGCTCGATTTTGATCTGATAATTCATTAATGCGCGGTGCCTCTCTGTAGATTCAAAATTGATAAACAATGATTTTGATTTTTACTGTAACAGTTCAAAACATTTATATCATGCATTGCCCAGTTTTTCCGAGTTATAATAAATTAACAAATAAAACAATAATAATTGTTTCACGGCGCCAACAGCTTAGCTTGTCATTCGGCCGAATCTTTATTCGGGCTGATTGACAATTGAAGTACGACTTTCAACTTTACCATATTAGAAGTTAGTTTGATTGACGATGTCAACCTTTCCAGATCGTTTGCGTTGCTTTGTTGTAGCGTGATGCGTTACTGTGCCGCGCCGCGCACTTTGCTCTAACCAGAGCACTCTCGCTTGCAGTAACAAGCGCGTCACGCAGTACGCGTAGACACATGGCTATGTGAACCGCGCACTCAATGAGGCTTCTCACAGCGACATCGGCGCTAGATCAGAAAAATGCGCTACTGTGCCGCGCCGAGCTGCGATGAATTGACATAGTCAATTAAATTGCTTTGTACATGTAAAGAGAGAATGCTAGTTTGCGCGTTGGAGGGGCAACGATCTTAATGGGTTGACATCGTCAATCAAGTTTGCGAAACGGCGAAGTCCTCCAAGAAGTTAGTTTTTTCATTGTTAATGGACTAACCTGGCGTAACTTGTAGCGCGATGCGTTACTGTGCCGCGCCGCGCACTCAATGAGGCTTCTCGCAGCGACAGATCGGCTTGTAGCGCGATGCACTACTGGGTCGCGCGCGCATCAAATAATGCTTCTCGCAACCACAACCACAACCACTTAAGCAGATCGGCGAGATGCGAAGGATTGACATCGTCAATCAACAGATCGGCAAAATGCGCTACTGTGCCACGCCGAGCTGCCATGAATTGACATCGTCAATTAAGTCGTAACTCCCATTTTCGTTTCACTATGATGGAGTTTCTACTATACGATACAGGAAAGTCGCGCACTCGTGCGCGACGGGTCATACAGTACAACGTATGACAAAACATTTCGAGAGGAAAGCGGTGCACGCACTACTTCAAAGAAATTCAGACGAGCTGTATCATATAAATTACAAACATCCGTCAATAAGTTAATGTGTGCATGACCTTCACCTAACCATGTGCTTTCGCACCGCTGCAGCCGGTGCTCACGTGTGCCTGATACAAAATAGTTATTTGTTCATAACTCGTCAAGAAATGATTTTCATGCTATAAGTATAAGTAGGTCTTATTCGAATTCAATGTAAAAAATATATTGATATAGCATAGCTTGATTCACGATGTCCGCGCTGTTCATGTTTAGCCTGTCAGATGTAGCGCGCGATGATATGCACTATATACGGCCCCACTGCGCATTAAATAATGTTTATTGCAACCTCAGATCGGCAAGATGCAGTAGGAACATTTTTATTTTTGTTCAAGATACCGCATAACATATTAGAATAGTGTTATTTTCTCTCTTCAGCAAATTTATTTGCAAATGCAGGTTCCTGTGACATACAAAACCATTTTATCAAAATTTACAAACTGCAGAGTAAACCATTTTTACGCAATTGCTTTCTCTACTACATGAATTCTTGTAGCGCTATGCACTACTGGGTCGCGCCGCGCATCAAATAATTCTTCTCGCAACCACCACGTAGATCGGCGAGATGCACCACTGTGCCTCACCGAGCTGCGAAGGATTGACATCGTGAATCAACATGAATTCCTTTTTGTAGGAAGCCTTTTTATTTCTTTCTTTATAATATTTAAAAAAATATCTTTGTTTAAATTATCTTTGGTGTGATCATGCTTGTGCATTTGGGTGGATTGATTTTGATTGATTTTTGATTGATTGAGGAGCACTACCCGAAGGCATTACTCGGCACTAACGCCTTAAAATCTTTAATTACTAATTAATTAATAAATATATGCACACAATGTATAAAGTATTAATAATGTATAAAATATGATTATGCTATTAGCAAATTTAAATAGTACTATTAAGAATTTTAAATAACTCTTATCTCTTGACATAAATTTAGAACAGCGACACAGGGTCTGAAGAATGCGCGGTGATATTTTTATCTTTTAAAAGTTGTAAATGACAGTGAAATTTCGCGGTGTCGATAGCATTGTAAAAAATGCTCTAAGATAGTCATATTTTGTTATGAGGTTAAAGTTTTGTTGCTCGTTATTATGATCAACGTATGTTGTACCAAATTATTTAAATTTCTAAAAGTACGAAATTTGAGTTGTCCCAGTCCTTGTCATCCGGTTTATGTGCTTGTGCAGTAAGCACATGCTTGTTGACTGTAGACTTGAATGAATTTAGGAATTTGTCTTGTAGGCAAGTGGTGACATATTTTATGTCCTTGTTAATAATGTTGACTGTTTGGTTATATAACTTAGGCCCAATGTAAGAAATGCTCTTGTCTGAATTACATAAGCGGTTAAATGGTACTGCAAAGAACTCAGGTTCTCTTCTAGGTGCGTTTAAGTTTGAATAATAATAATAATAATAATTCTATACAGTTACATAATTGAAACAATTATGGCCCCTTATTGTGGGCAGAGTATGTGTCTTTATTGAATTGTCCTGATATAAACTTATCTGAGTGACTGCATTAAAATAATTTAAGGTGAGTTAAAACTTTAAGACAATAGGAATAAATACTAGGACCTAATAAAATGAAAACAAAATGCAGCCATCTAATTTGTTGTTGAGCTTTCTCTTTTCCTACGGTTGACTAGAGGAACCATCTTTGGCGAGTATTAGGAACTTAGACCATTACAAATACCGTGCTGTAAGTTTGCAAGGCATGTGGACTAAGTGGGTCGAGAGTACTCAACTTGAAAGTGGGTGTTGAGAATCCTCAACTATACTAAAGATAATGATGTTCAGAAAATGAGGCAGTAGAGTGAGTAGTAGAGGCTGAAGAAGAATAAATGTCACAAGAGATGAGCACTATAATAATCATCTTTATGATAGTTCACCAATGGCAATTTGTGCTAGAGAGCGGAAGGCAGTGATGCTGCTATCACTATCATCTCTTAAGATAGACCATGATGGTTGGTCATTAAAGGAATGGTCCTGCAGGGTTTCCCTGTAAGAGCAGCTGCACAGTGGACAGTAGAAGAGTCTGTGATAATTGGTGTCTAATACCTTACAATTTGGACACTGAGGGTCGCAGTTGTTGGCTACCCTTGCCTGGAAGGCTGCAAAGGTGATGTCATGGCCGTGTAGGAGAGACATAACCTTAGTATCCGTGTTTCTGCTTGAGTAGCGAGGAAATAATCGTTTGCTCCTTTCATCAATGTTATCCAGTATCTGACCCTCACTCTGATTTATTCTTGGGTTCAGCAGGAGATGTTTATTCCAAGTAAACTCCATGAAGCGGATTATTTCTTCTTTTGAGTAGCTGACAACATCGTTCTGGACACTAGTCAGAAGGTCTATTTTGCTTCTGTTTAGTTCTTTGGACCCAGTTTTCCACGTTAGAAACTTACGTATCTCGTCAATATGGTGCTGGTATCGGTGTGCCTTTGCCTCCTCTAGCTGCAAGATGAGCCCTTGCATAAATGGGTCACTTGTAAGTGCTTTTATTATAAATTTTATAGTGACCATCTTGTAGGATATCTCAAGGGGTGGAATCCCAAGCGCAACAGAGGTCAAATCTTTGGGAGGATGGTGAGTGGCCCCGCTTATCTTCAAGAGGACCCTGGCATAAAAGTCTTTGAAAGTGTCGAGGTTATCTTTTAGCCATATAGGAGCAGCATATAGAAGTTTTGTGAGTACCACTGTTCTGAAGAGCATTCTGAGTGAGCTTGTATTCAGACCTCTGTGGCGGGTGGAGTTTTGGGTGATCCTGTGCCAGGCAAACCAGCATTGCTTGAGTTTGAATTTTGCGTGACCCTTGAATGTG